AAGAGCAAGCAAGAATGAATCTTATTAAATGGAGCGAGGTACTTCTCTCAGTCTCTCATCACGTTCAGGGCTGATTGGAGGTGAAATTACACTTGGAGGAGGGGAAGCCCCCTCCCCTGGGACAATTCAGAGGCTCCCGCACAAACTTAATTTCAAGCTCTGTTGAAGATGGTGTTTGTCTTTTTTTTTTTTTTTTTTTGTATGCATTCAATTTAATTTCTCAGGCAGACGTGTGAAAATGAGAAAGGCAGACCTTTGACTGTGAAGACAGCTCGGTGCCTACTTCTAACAGATCCAGTCTCACGTTGTTTTCCTCCATCACTGCCCTCAATAAATCTGTGCGCAGGGGTTGCTAAAATGCCCACCACCTCCCTTCCACGCTGCGGTGGAGACGGTTAAATTATTTTTTTTTTTGCATTTAAGCAATCCAATTCATTTTTAATTCAAAAAAAACCCCAGTTTTTGACAGCTCTGCTTGAAACAGGAGCACTGTGACCTTGAAAAGGCTCGGACCTGCTGGCACCATGAAGTTCTGATCTGTACTCTGCTCTCCAGTCCGTACTTGCTCTCTTGTGAGAAAAAGGCTCGTGGTGGTTTCTGATCCACCCGTTTCAGTGACAATGGCTGAAAGGGAAGGAGAGGAACTGCATTTGGTTTTGGAAGGCTCCTGGGGGAGAGGTTCCTGGAGATTCAGCTCTCCCGGCCTGCACAGAAACACACACTGCTCAGCTCCTCTGCAGGCAGTTGATCTGGCTAGTTGCACATTAGTTTTCCGATCTTGAGAGCATACATACACACAGGTTAAAATACAGCTTGGGGTAGGCTGTTGCCTTTCCAGCTGCCCCGCTTCTTGTGCCCAGGAACAGACAGACGGTGATGATTTTTAAAATCAATGATTTTTAGCAGAGTTGCTGACACAGGACAGTTCCAGCGGGTCTGGCTTCTCCCTGCCTCCGAGACAGACGGAGGCAGACAGGCCTTGCCCGAGTCGTTCCTACATTGCCATTTCCCACTGTGACCCAAGGGAGGACGGCAAGCAAAGCATGAAGCACAGAGCAGTACCAGGCTCTCAAATAATTTCTGTCTGCAACCCCAGGCAGGCGGAGTGAAACACAGCCCCGTAAGCCCCATCTCGTTAAGAAATCAGCCACTAAAGAGATGGGTGTAAAAGCCAAAATTGTTATGGGCAGCGAGGCCGTGACAGGACGCCCCTTGCTGTGGAGGCTCTCCTGACCTTCAGGTGTAGGTAGAGCCGTGTATGCATTTCAGTTTATCTCTCTCTGCTCAGTTCAATAAGCAATCCGGGACAGCGGCTGTGGGTTGAAAAAGGAGAAGAGCCGCGGTGCAGCCCACCGGCCGCCCCCACCCCTCTCCCCTCCGCCACACAGCGCCTGAGGGCCGTGACGGCGCCAGGCGCCGAGGGAGGCCGGGGACTACATCTCCCAGCATGCAAAGCCGAGCAG